TCTGCTGGCAAGTTCCAACTGCTCCCAAACAAAGAGAGAATCCAATCCCATAACTCTCCAGTAAAGGAACAAGAAATTAACAAATGATAACAGTCCTCACTCTGAGATCTGCAAAGGATGCACCAGTTGGGGGAAATACAGAGGAAAGGTCTTCTCTTTTGTAGATTATCCAAGGTATTTACTTTCCCATAGTACACTTCCTAATAGAATGCCAAAATCTCAGGGGGAACAGGTCTGCACCAAACTTCCTTAACAGGGAAATCCTGCCAAGGGTTAGAACAGCAAAGGGATTTAAAAAGCACAAGAGAAAGATCCTTCTGATCTAGGTATCCAAATTCTTTTGTCAGGTTCAAAGGGGTTCAAACAAACTTGCTCAAGAAGGCAGAGTAAACTGACTAAGCACTCAATCTCTTCATCCCTTAAGCCTCTACGGAACCCAAAATCCCAAGTAGGAGCCCAAGGGATTTCCAATAAAGAGAAAAATTTGGAAACAACCTCTTTTTTGTATCAAGAGACTAAGAACAGGGAGGGTAAAAGGGTTTTCAGGGGAACATCTACAACCCATATGTCCTCCCAAAAGATGATGGAGTTGCCATCACACACATTATACCTGATATGACTGAGGAAGAATATAGTGCACTGCCTTCCAAGGGTTTGCCGAAGTTTCCCGCCTTGATACACCAACATCCCATCTATTCCCTAAGCATCCATGTATATTTCCGATCACCTCATGCCACAACCTGACTCTCTCTAACGGCCACCTCCACAGCCACTTCCCCAGTAAGGCTGTATTTTTCTGAATTAAGTTCCCTAGTACCAAGCCCCCTTCCTCTTTACTCCTACACACCACCTATCACTTAATTAAATGGCCTTTCCTATTTTCCCCTGGTTCCCAAAGAAAGTCTCTCATTAATTTTTCCAGCTTCTTAGCTTCCCTAGTTGGGATCCTAAAGATAGAGAGATAGTAAGTTGGAAGGTTTGCAAGTGTAGCTCTTATTAAGGTGATTCTTCCCCCCAGAGAGATGTAGTTCTTTTTCCATGAAGCCAATCTCTTCTTAAACTTCTCTACAACTGGGCACCAGAACCTACTCTCCCGAGGATTTGCTCCTAAAGGAAGCCCCAAATAGGTCAAAGACCAAGTAGAGATAGAACAATCTAAGCACTCAGCAATAGCCTCCACTTCTCTTGACTCCAAATTAACCCTTGCAATGCAACTCTTTTCGAAATTGATTTTCAAGTTGAAAATACTTTCAAAATTCCTAATCAGCATCTTTAAACTTCTCACCCTCTCAATGTCAGCCCCTTCACAAAAGATTAATATGTCATCCGCGAACTAGAGATGGGTAAATGGGGTCTCATTTCTACCAACTCTCAACCCTCTAACTATACCTTCTCTATCATCCTTAGAGATTAAACGACTAAGCACATCAGCAACTAAGGTGAAAAGAAAAGGTGAGAGAGGGTCCCCCGGCTTGATGCCCCCGCTAGATGAGAAGAAATCCTTCACCAGGATTGAATAGTGGCAGGAACTAACACAACCTAGGATCCAATTACACCACTTTTCACCAAAACCACAATTTCTTAAGACTTCACTAAGGAACTTCCAATCCACCATGTCGTAAGCCTTTTCAACATCCAACTTACACGCAAAGCCTTTCCTAACAGATCTCCTCCGATCCTCCACACTTTCATTGGCAATCAATATTTGGTAATTATTTGTCTTCCACTCTTCCTTGTACAAAGGCCCCTTGGGTTTGGTTGACTAAGGAGGGGGTAACTTCTTTAAGCCTCAGAGATAGAACCTTAGCTAGGATTTTGCAGATGCTCATCACCAAGCTAATTGGTCTGAAATCCTTAGGATGAATAGCATCAGGTTTCTTATGGACTAGGGCCAGAAAAGTGGCATTGACACCCCTGCTCACTGTGTGACTATCTGCAAATTCCTTAAAAACCTCAACCAAATCATCCTTTAGTACTTCCCAACAATCTTGGAAAAAAGCCATAGTAAATCCATCTGGTCCAGGTGCCTTAGAACTATCCATCAGGAACACTGCCTTCTTGATTTCAGCTTCTTCAAAACTTCTTTCCAACCACCTCACTTTCTCTTCTCCCAAACATGGCCAATCCAACCCTTCCATAAACAATCTTTCATTCAAAGGCCTTTTATAAATGGACTTAAAGTGGGTCACAAGGGTTTTGGCTATTTCGTCCTGATTTGTAATCACCTCCCATTCTACCTCTAATTTGGCCATAAAGTTTTTCCGTTTGGTGCTTCCCAAACTTGATCAAGGCTTTCTTTCATAGTTGGCATATGTACTATGTGACTCAAACACAGCAAAGACATTGCTGGATATGGTATTGGATACAAAATTGACACTAAAAATTGAAGTATCCAACACGATACAAAATCGTTGTACAGGTATTCAGGTATCATTATCATAACATATGTAACGCCTTGGCAAGTGGACATTGTACAGGCCTTAGCAAAAGAATCCTAAGTAACAAATAGAAAAGTTCCTAACCTACATAGTCACCCATAGTACCAACCTAAACAGATACCCAAATCTCCCCACTCCCACCAAACTACCTCAAGCAACTGATCTTCCTTAGTTCCTCTCTATCTCCTCCCTCTTCCTGCTGTCACCCCTCTTTGGCCTCCTTTGCCTCTACTAATCCTGTTTCCATCTGCATCCCCCAACCTAAGGCCCTCTGGAACCTCCTCCAAAACCTATACGGAACATCACTATAAACGCTCTGTAAATCAGTTGTCAATCTTTTTGCTAACCTTTCACCTTCTTTTAGTGAATGAAAAAAAAAATGTAAGAAGAAAAAAAAAACATGAGAATATCAGCATATAAATCTTGTTTTTTACCTAACAATTAGGCAAAAGGAATAGTTTATCACTCAGGGATAGACAGAGAAAATCATGAGGTCCAAAAGTAAGTAATATATGGCTAAGAAAAATAAATGTAATTCATAATGAAAGTAACAAGAAAATTACTTACCAGTATGCTAAAATTTTCAAGTGCTCATCACAGAATTCACTATTTGAAAAACCTTTTCAGCGAAAAAAACACCTAAAAGTTTTTGCACACATAAACTTCAAATATGTGAACCTTTCGAATAGGGAATGCTACTTGGGTTGGGAAAAACCACACTTGATTGGACCAGACCCAAACTCTAGGTTAGGTTAGGCTTGATTCTAATGATGTTGTCCTAAAATCCCAACCCAACCTAATCTCGAGTTGGTCATAGGTTGAGAACTTGACAAACCATCTTAACTTAACCCATGCTTAACAATTTGCATGCATGCATGGTACAGTGGTAGATAAATTAGAAGCTTTAATATATAGGGTTACTAGGTAGAGTATGGAATTGTCCTTAGAGAGTCCAGGATTCTAGTTATCTTACCCTATGTTTTTCTTTTTTATTTAACTTGTGAGGTTGTATTTTAATCCAGGATAGTTTGTTTACTCGATTTTCTCTCATAGTTTACTTTGGGGTAGCATCAGACCTCTAGATAAACATTTGACAGAGCAAGATATTTGCTAGCTGGAAGTCAAAATCCAGAAGAAGTTACTTTGTGTTGTAGAAGAGATTCACTTTCTTCCAAGCACTTAGGTCTTCTATATCCTCCTGATGCAAATTAACAATTGGCTAATTTATGGTTGTACCATTTATTTTTCTCCTTCTTCCATTCTCAATTGCTGACCTACCTAATAAGAAAGAGATGGTCTCTTCAAGAACAGTCTTTTTTAAGGAAATATTCACCTTGTGAAATGGTGATCTATTTTCATTTTGAATAACAAACATTTGGAGGTAAGAAATACAAGATGTAGCAATTGGCCTTTACCAAAACATATGAATACCATACCTATTGATGGGAAACTCTACATCTTCATATCCCGCATGGCTTTAGTGTTCGGATGGTGGTTCTCTTTTCTTTGTTTTTTATTTCCTTTTTGATAAGTTGTTAGGGCATTGAGTGTCACAAACTCATGCGAGTTGGCTAGACATGGAAAACAGGATATACGCTGCCACTCTAGGAAAAACCATGGAACGGAAACAATCCTCATGGTGGCTTTTCCTCTCTATATTGTATGGTTGTAGATAAAGGGGTATCCATGATTAATTGTTATAAGATGAGACATAGAAAGGTAGCATGAAGGCATCATTTCCATCCCCACATGAACAATTGGGAGGCTGACCATCTAGTATCCCTTTTGTTATTACTAAACTAAGTTTGCACCCCTAGGGGTAGCATTGATGTTGGGGCCGGAATTTCAGATGAGACAGGATGTCCTCAGTACAGTCATTTCATTGCAATTAACAGGTAAGTATTTTGGATGCCTTCCTGGAAAATGGATTCAGACCCAATAATCATCAAAATAGCATGTTTTCTGTAGTCAACAATACTTGATAAAATTTTGACAAGTGTCCACCTCATCTTCATGAAAGATGCACTTATAATGTAACTCATGTGATAACTGATGAACTTTTTGCTCGTCTTTTCATGCATTAGTGTTTAGAATCAACAACGAGATAAGAAATCTGACTGATCAGAGCATCTTAATCCACCAAGACAAAGAAGAAACAAGATTAAAGATCTTGATTTCGATTTAGAACTTTATCGCGCCCAGTTGCTATAATTAAATCGACGCAACCCATTCAAGAAAAACAAACAGCTTGTGGCAGTAATACACCCATGACAAACATCCCCACAAACTAAAAAACTCCAATCCCCAACCATGAATTTGCATATTAGGGTTAGTTCCAAACTAAAGTTTTCAGTTGCATGTCATGAAATTCTATCACTCATCGAATTCAACTACTCAACTAAATAAGCAACTTCCATAAAATTCAAAGCGAAACTTGATCTAGACAAAATTAAATTCCAAAATAAAATAGTAACAAAATAGGAAAGAAGCCCAATACCGCAAACTAGAACGAGCAACAAAATTGAGAAAAGTAAAACAAATGAATTGCCACTCAATACATACGGGGATTACGAGCAAAGCGCAAAGAGGGCTGCCTTGGCGAGTCCACAGGAGAAGGTTCCTGCTGGAGTTTCTAGACGCTTCTCGGAGCAAAGGGCCATTATCACGGAACGAAGCTCTAGTCCTCTCAAGCAGAGAAGCGGGAGCAGAGGAACCGGGGAAGAAAATATCGGCGAGTAGGCGATGAAGAACACCGTAGAGAGTCTCCTCGTGCTGATCCCCCATTTTCTCGATCTCTATAAACCCTAGCTTCTCCCGATCTTTCTCGTCCACAACTACGCCGGCAGGGGTCTCCCCTTCATCGGCGTCGTCCATGTCCGTCTTTTCCTCAGACACTGTATTATTCGAGCTTAAGCTGACTGAAGAGAGGGAGTGTGGCGATCTGAATTCATCGGAAACACAATTTTGATGTGACAGTTAGAAACACGTGGCGGTTGGATGCACGTGGGGCCTATCTTTTGATCCACGTGTCGTGTTGATCGCGTCTTTATCAAATAATATTTTACTAACGCGCTTACGTAAGTAGGAAGAAAAAGAAGAAAAGGGATAATAACTTGTCGTTTATTCACTAGTGCCGCCTCCGCCCATCTCCATCTTTACCTCCGACAACATTGGCAGAGGTGGTCGAAGGCATAGGTGGCGGTGGCGGCACAGGTGGTTATTTCTTTGTCCAACATCGCCATCTCTGCCTCTAACTCTGACAATATTGCTGGAGGTGAGAGGAGATAGAAGTGGAGGCAGCGGCGAACGACGGTGGCGGGTGGTGGTGGGTGGCGACTGACAGCGGTGCTGGTGAACAAATGGCAAGAAGAAGATGATCAACGGTGTTTTGCCCATATTATTTTTAAAAAGTTAACATATTTTTGAAATATTTTTAAAAATATTATTTTTATTGATATTAAACCCAAAAGTTGCCCTATGCTAATTAAAAAGTTAACCTATATTTGAAATTTTTTTTTTAAAATATTATTTTTATTGATATTAAATCCCAAAAGTTGCCCTTATATGCTATTACCCAAAAAAAATTAATTTCTTAACTGCACTTTTAAGTTTATCTTGAATGTTACATGATATACATGTGTCTGTATGTGTCTAACACCTATTTTACCTCACAGCCACATCCCAACCTGCATGGGGAACATCTCCTATAAATAATAAATATAAGTACGGAGATGTTCTCCATGTGTGGTCAAGACCAAGATTCAAAGTATCGACACGTATTAGTCAATACATACCTTCTCTAGACCCCCTCGATATGCTCCTATAGTGGCTATATCGGGGGTCTGACCGGTTCAAGGTGTGGAGGAGGCCTAAATCGGCTCCCCTAAACCAGTTGCAAAAAAAAAATAAAAAGTACCAAAAAGTTGTATTGATATTTTGAACCTTGGTCAAGACACGTTCTATGAGAAGTAAATCCGGATTTATCAATAAACAGTACCATGAATGAATTAGGATCTGTTATTCACAGTACGTCCTAGTCGTGAAAACATCTCTCATACTTACATGTTGTTATTCGTAAAGAGATGTTCTCAATACATGGCGGATTTGTAATATCATGTCAATGTGAAGAGTGGTACGTGGAGAGCATATCCAAATTCACCGTGAATATCAAAAAATTGTTTTCTTAGTGGCTCAAAATACAATGGCTAATAAACATGGATAACTAGATAAGGGCCCAAGACCTACAAATGGATCAATAAAAACTTAGACAATGTCTTGTAAGAATGCAACAAATTTTTTGGTGGGGTCAATGATAGTTGCAGCGGGCATGGCCCACTTTTGTGAGTCATTAGTGTTTTAGCGAGCCGTGCTGTATTGGTATGGGTGTCGAGGAAGGCCATGCCTGTTTGGCTCAAAAATCTTCAAAAGCATGGCCCATCAATCTCTTCAAAGGTCAAAATGGCCCACGATACAAGCCCAAGTAGGTCTATGTTGGGTTGAGGCATGCCGAAGTAGGTCAAAGTCTTTTTCTCATTTTTTTTTTCATTTTTTGTTAATTAAAAATGATTAAAAAAATTGGAAAAATAAAAGTTTAACAAAAACATTTACCAAAATACAAAAATATACAACAAATTAATAAGGAAATTTCAAATTTTCATTTCATTTGAATTTAATGAATAAAAAGTAAAAAATAAAATTGACGAAATACAATGGAATTAGAATAAAACATAAAAATAATATAATAAAATTAAAAATAAAAAAGTTTACAATGGTATTGCAAAATAAAATAAATTTTAAATTGAAAAACAAATTTTGCAACAATTTTATAAATGTTGTACAATTATTGAGTATACAAAAAAAAATATTAACTTCATTATTTTCTTCAACTTCAACTCATTAAGTTTTAGTTCCTCCATCTCCTTGATCTTGATTTAAATCATCTCATTTTATTGAAACATCAAGTGAAGTGCCATGCCCTCCCTAATCTTGCAATCTATCTTCAATATCTAGCCAATCCTTCAAGCATATACACATATCCAAGCTTTCATTGCTCATGCAGCTTCTCTTGTCATCCAGCAATCTAGTAATTACACTAAAGCAAGACTCTGGTAGAACTATAGACACCAAAGGGATTAATAGATCACATTCCATGGCAGCAAGAATTGAAAAAATTTTTCCATGTTCATTTAACTAGGCTAAAACATTAGAATTATTTAATTCCTTTGAGCTATAGTAATTTGTTAAATTAGTAAAATTAGCTTATAAATAAAAATAAGTACAATAAGTGAACTTGATGATGAAGTGGCAGCTAATTTTTTCTTGTTATTTATAAAGGACCAAACTCTATTTCCTCCACTACTAGAACTAGAGGTTTTAATAGTGGAAGTTATACAAGTTCTCCTACATCCAAATAATTAAGATCCATATGCACTATACATTTTAAATAATAAATTATTAACTTCATCTTTTTTTGTTTCAATTTCACTTTTCATATTTTCATAATAAGATCCAGGTAAAACATCTAAATCATCTTTTCTAATCCTAGGATCTAATATCCAACTAAGCAATATAAAGGAAAAATATTTTTCTAATATTTTTTAAATTTAATTTCCATTACATCAATAATATTTTGAAATTTAAATTATTTCTATATTTTAAAAAAATTCACCTATGTTGGGTAATAAACACCCGAAAATCTATTAGTTGTATCATAAAAAATTTGTAAAAAAAAAAATCTTTTATACAAACTACAATTTCCCAATCATGACCATCGATTATAAAATCATGGGGCATTTTTTCATTATAAAAATTAGAAAGAATGTCTTTATATGAAATACAACTCTGTCTAACACAGAATAGGTGGAATTTCACCTATGTTGAACATCTAATACAAACTTCTATATTTTAGACCATATTTTTAACATAAATATTTAAATTCATGTTTTCTTATACCAAAACTTCTAATATACATAATGCCATTTTTAATTTTTGAAATATAAATAAAAATAATATTTAAAGCATCTTGAACACAAATTTAAGATGTGACATGCACTTCTAATTATATGAAACGATTTACCATTTAAACATAATTTTAATTGAGATTTTAAAATATTTATTATTAAATCATTATTACAAACATTATCACACAACTTTAGAGACCAATAATTAACTTAATATGTAATGATTTACCACACTACTTTAGAGACCAATGATTAAACTATTATGAAATAATTTACCACACAATTTTAGAGACCAATGGTTAACCTAAGAAGGGTTTTAGTTTTTTTTTAAGGAGCTTAACTTTGGTAAAAATAAAATAAAAAAAATCAAGTTTGAGAACCTAAGGAGTCTACTACTAAAGCTTCCTAGGAAAGACTATCCTTAGTAGTCAACTACTTGAAAGATAGTAGTCAATTGGTTGTAACGGCAAAATCAAATAGCACCAATGAGTCGACTACTAGTTAGAAGGTTATAGTCGACTATCAAAGAAAAAGATTCTCTATTGTGCATGCCAGTAGTCGATTATTAAACCTTGGTAGTTGACGACTAGCAAAGCCTATCAGAGTTTTTGAATTCTAACAATTAAAGAAGTTTATTACCAAGCCTTGATAGTTGACTACTTTGTGCAATTGCTTTTATCAACTCTCTATTTTATGATCATTTAAAGCTCTAACAACTTTTTTCTCTTCTGGTAAGCCATGGAACTTGTTGGAAATCATCTTTGAATGTTCCCAAAGGAAAAAAAAAGATCTATCCCCAATAAATCTATAACAGTCATATGTGTTCTTCATTTGTTTCAATTGTATTAAGGCAATGATTGTAAGGAAGAACAACAAGAAACTAAGGGGGAAAAAGAAAAAATGAAAAGAGAGCAAAAAGTAAGAGATAAAAAGAGAGTAGATTTTGAACTTAAAAATAGAATTGTGCTTGATAGTTTCACTCTTAGAAACTTAAAATTCTTCATTGCTAAATCCCTAGCACACAAGTGTATGAATTGCTATCTAAATAGTTTGAAGGTATATATATATATATATATATATAAATCAGTCTTTAAGAGGCATTTTATTTGAATCAGTATTCATTTTTCAAATTGTATTGTGCTTAAATGGCTAGTGGGTTTCTAGCTGTTGTGTGTTCTAGTTTAGAACATGAAAAGGATTGAATAACACCTATATATATATATATATATATATATATATAAGCCTATTTGGTGATTGTAAGAGGTTTGGTTGGTACCCGGTAAATTCAACGAAGTAGTGGATTAAAATTCTTATGAGGTGTGCTTGAGCAAATGACATAGGTTGTGAATAGCCAAACCTATATAAAATCTATGTGCATCTTGTAGTTATTACTTTTCCTTTGCTTATTCTTATTCTTATGCGTTCTTGTTCGTACAATCATCATTGAACCAGAATATTGTTTTATTGCTCATGTTCTTTCAAATCTTTGCATTCATACTAGGAGGATAAACTTAGGCAAAAAAAAAATTAATAAACCCAATTCACCCCCCTTTATTAGGTCTTTTCTTACCATATCTTGGCTTCTTTGGATTAATAGAAACAGTATTGTTCAGGGTGTTAACCCAATTCATGCTTCTATCATGGTTTCGACATACCCATAGGTTATGTTAGGAGAGAAGGTAAGTAAGAGTTTTGAGCCTCATGGTTTAGAGGATAACTAGTTCTAATTGCACCTTTTTCTCCTTTCTATAGCTGGTTTTAACACATCTCATGAATGTTTTGTCAAAATCTTTATTCATTAAGCCTTTAAAAGTAATGAGAGATCGAGATATGGTGTTATGTTTTTGAATTCCCATGAATCCATAGTTGTAGCTCTTGTACTCTATTGACTTGTCTAGGTCTGCTCTACTTTCTAAATTTTGTTGGTTTTCTCCTCAAAGGAAGTCTAAGCATACTAAGGGCCTTTTTTTATTGGATAATGCT